CAGAAATACTGAACACTCCTAGCAATCTTTGTCATAATCTGTGAGGTTAGATGAAGAGAGATCACTTTTCTCACAACTAATTTCAACACTCATTCCCAGTCGTGTTTCACAAAATTTCATTTTGTAGAGAAGTACACAATTCTTCTTTCAGAAAAAGTACAAGTCTGAACGATGATACTCAATGGAGATATCGAGAAAACAATGAGGAGGTCATTTATTATGATCCACCCGTTATATCTGCGTAAAGATGGATGTGTTTGACATACGCGTTGTAGGAGTGATTGTAAAAGACGAATACGTATTCGAGCGGTCTGCCGTCTGGCGGTCAAGGTGAAGAGAAAATAACGGAGAATACTGCACAATATTTCGATTGTACCGAGGACTATGTTTATTCAAAATACAAATCGTTATTTTGTTTGACGTCTGAAGAATTCGATTATTTCTGCTTACTCAATAGCCAGCACAATTTGTTTCTCACATCAGCATGAAGTTTGGTCGTAGACAACGACCATATTGACGCTAAGGTAGTACCCTCATTCAGGCAAAGTCTGAAATCGATGAACAGTAAATACATATAGCAGTCAAAAAGTAGTGAGAGTAGTACTGTAATTCATTATAAAAAGTTGTAAGAAACTTTCTCTCTATATAGTCTGATACAGAAAAGAATGATCCATTTTTCTATATTATTTAATCATACTTCAACTAATATTATAATAATAAAATTTTGATAAGACCTATTTTTCTATCATATGGATTGGATACACGAATGTCTATTTAGTGATTAGTTTCTGAATAACTTTTTGATAGAAGCTAGCTAGAGAGTTGTAGTTTTCATCGTTTGGAAGAGGAGATGAAGACGTATTGAATTATATATTATATGTTTTCCTAGTATGTTGTCTGAAGTTTGTTTAATCAATTTTCTAAATATGGAAAAATGCTTTCTTGTCAAAAGAGAAGCAACAAAAAAATGTTTTTCTACAAAAATTGCCAGAAAAATAAACTGAGAGCTTCGACTAGAATATCTATAACTCCTAAATGATTAATTCTAAATATCTGAACCTTATGCAGTTTTTTAGGCCTTCCATTGGCAGTTCGAATACACATGTGACAATTAAGAATTCACTGTAAACACTCCACTGGATAGGTTTGTGTTCAAAGAGATCTATTGAAAACGTTAAAAAAGTCATGTCAAAAAATCTATAATTTACGATTTGATGCATCTGCATTTCGTCTTTCAAACGATGGAAATCTCAGTTCTCTAGCTAGCTTCTATCAAAAGTTATTCAGAAACTAATCACTAAATAGACATTTGTGTATCCGATCCATATGATAGAAAAATAGGTCTTATCAAAATTTTATTATTATAATATTAGTTGAAGTATGATTAAATAACATAGAAAAATAGAGCATTCTTTTCTCTATCAGACTATATAGAGAGAAAGTTTCTTACAACTTTTTATAATGAATTACAGAAACCACTCTCACTACTTTTTGACTGCTCTATGTAAATATAGAAACTGAAGCACATCAATATCTTACGTGATCATGACTTACTTTTGTGATCGATCATAGTTAAAAGTATTTTCTGCAGTACCCCATGGACTTCCTGTGCTATTGTTAGCAGTTACCGATGCGTTTTGCTGTAAAGGACATCGATCAATGAACGATTGCGACGCAAATGCACTCGTAACTTGACCAAAAACAACCGCAACTGCTGTGGAAGCAATGCTATGTAGTAAGACAACGCATAAGCCGACAGCTATTATTAGAAGATCAAGCCAATCAGCAAAACGAAACTATCATAAAGTTAAACAAACATTCTGTTGTGCAATATGTATTCTCTCTTGATACACTTACTAGTTGAAAATATCCAATAACTGGCTCAGTTCTAGCATGATCATTATCATCATCATCATCCAACGTTTCATACTGTTGATCGAGCTTTTTAAAAGCGAAACATTGAAGGCAATTGGACAATCTATATGAATACGACATTATCGTTGATACTTTCCTAAAGCTCAATTTTATCTTACTTGTTAATCACCGATCGTCTTCTATCTTTATTGCCACGATCAGTAGAATAACGGTCTTCAGCTGATATTAGTGGCTGTGTATTACTCATGATGTGATGTACAATGTTTTACCATTGAAAGAAACAGAAACAGAAAATACCTATGCAGCAAAGAATAGTTATTGCGTGTGATTTATTGGACTTGGGTATGAATGTGCCTTTTGCTTAAGATGAGTTGAACCTACATTCAAACCTACACACCCAAAATATTTTGAGTTATATATCATTCGATAGAGAAACAATTCTCTATACACTGTTGTGTATTAGAATCGAAAAGAATATTGATAGAACTTCGAAAACTTCTAAATGCCTGAAGTCATATAGATTTTACAGAGAACTTCAATTTTTTAGGTTCGATAAAATGAAAACGCAACTCACAATACATCATTCAATAGAGAAGACCAAACTGAATCGTGTCATGTCTTTGGTTCCTAAAAATCGTTATACAGAGGGTGCCAAAAGTCATCTGCCAAAAACAAAATTGTATATTTCTATTGGAGTTTCACAGAACGAACTGTTTTTGTTCTGTGGATAGAGGATACTTGCAAGTTTTATTTCATAAATATAAACTCCATAAGTACTTCTGAAAAAACGGCACTTCCCAGGTCGATCATTCCGGCCATCTAAAACGGCATCGGAAATGGTCTCAAACGACTATAAAACAGCGTAATGATGCGTTAATTTTCACCTCATTTTGCCGTAATCCATCAGTCCATTTTACGGACCGTTTTTTCACTAGAAAACAGCCATCATTTTTCACACTATTTTCATCGTTTTCCAAGCTGAAGGAAAACGGCTTCGGTTTTCGACGTTTCATATCGTTTTTTGCACCGCTTACAGTCATTTACGGGCCATTTTCTTGGGTCTGGATTGAAGACTCAATGTACAAAAAAGTCTTTTTTTCAAGTTTTGTGAAATAATATATAAGGTTTTTTCATTATTGCGGGTTTTTAATCATCTAGGTCTTCTCCTCTCGATTCAGAAACAATTATTTAACGCTTTCGAAAAATGTAGAGTGATGAGTGCATTTCTTCAAAGTGATTTGTTCGTCACTTATCAAAAACTTTCATGCAAACTGAACTGAATAAACTGGCGCAATTTTAAGGCTTACTCTATGGTCATCAAATTTGATACCCATGTGTCTAGTTTATTGCAAATCTCAAAGAAATGTTGATATAGCAAGAGAAGGAGATCTAGATGATCACAAGTCTATAATAATGAAAAAAACTTCGAAAAATGACAAAAATACTTATATATTATTTCCCGAAACTCGTCAAAAGGACTTTTTTGCGTATTGAGTTTAAAAGTGCCACTTTTCAAGAGTGTTTAAAAACTTTATATTTATGAAACAAAACTTGAAAGTATTTTCTATCGACAGAATAAGAATCCGCTCATTCGATGAAGCTCCAATGGAAACATACAATTTTCTTTTTGGTAAGTGATTTTTGAGACATTCTCTATAAGAGACATATTAATTGCTAATGATAATAAATATTTCATACAGATTTTTCGATAATCTTTGTTCTTAAGGTACGAAATCGAACTTAAAATTTTTTCGAACGATACAGACTTGTAGAAAATTAAATTCTCTACAAAATGATGTATCTGTATACACGATCATTATTTTTCCTGAGTATGATAAGAATCTATCTTTTCAAGTGCAGTTTACAGTGAGGAAAGAAGGGGGAAAAAAATTTCGTTCTGTCACTTTATATACAGTATGTAAAAAAATTATTTGGACACCTATCTTAGCTATCTCATAAATCGAATTTCATCATGAAGGAAAAATATTTTCTCGACTTTCTTGATATCATTCGATAGCTCGGAATCTCTACTTCATTGTCCGACCAAAAAAACTTAAAAGCAACAAGATTTTCATAAATTTTTGAGGGTTTTCAGGAAATCACTTGATTTCCCAGGCAAAAAAATTATTTGGACACTTACGGTTTTTTCTCAATAATTCCTCTATTTTTCGTCAAAACCTAGTCAATTATATCTCATCTGATAGAGAAAACATTTCTCTACACGTTGGTATAGCTTACAATTTAAAAAATATTGGTGAAACCTTAAAATCCTTCTAATACCTGAAGCACCATAGGTTTTACAGAAAACCTTAGGATTTCAGTCTGGAGAAAGTCAAAAGTCAACTCAAAATATATCATTCGATAGAGAAAAAAAACTGAATCGAATGGTATATTTTATTTTTAGAAATGTTGGCAAAAATCAGGTGTTAATTACTAATTATAATTAGCTTTTTGTATAGACCTGCCATTAATCTCAATTTTTCATAAGAAAAATTACATTGAATATTATTTTGAAGGATACATTCTTGTAGAGAATTAAATTCTCTACAAAGTGATGTACTTGGTTACACGATTCCTATTTTCCTTAAGGTAGTTAAGACCTTATCTT